GCCCGCCCCATCCTCCGGGGGTGCCGGGCTCGGCCCGGGCGCCCGCCGCTTATCGCGCTTTGGGGCCGTTCCCTTCGGAAAAGGCGCTGCGAGCACCGAGCGGCATCGGGGAGCGGTTAGGAGTTTAGTAGGAAATGGCTGTTTAATTAGGAAAAAGCGCTGCATGACAACGAGCGGGGAGTTCCCGCCTCTCGGCGCCGCACCGCTGGCTCCAGCACAGCTGGGAAATGTCCGAACTGCTGGAAAATAACTTTCCTTCCTGCTTTTCACTGAGAAATGCGAACTCTGCGCTAGTGTGCGGCTCTCCCGGGGCTGGACAGCTGGTTTCACTTAGATTTGTGTGTGATCAGCCTTCCCGGCATCTTCCTGCTATTTTATCACATGTCAGCGAGTTAGTTTTACCGTATAAGGACTGCGGGCTGCTTCTGGGAGAGGTGGAGCCAGACTAACTCCAGCTTCCCAGTGGCCCTGTCTCCATAGCTCTGGAATTTTGCTGAATTAAAATATGCCTTAAAAGGGTCCTGTCTAGCAGCAGGAGTTGCAGACTGCCACATAGCAGATGCCAGTGCAATCGATGCTACACGATCGATGCTTTGTGTGTAAATCAAGGAAGTTAAACGCACAGCACTGGGTAGAAAACAAATGAAATGCTGGGTAATTTCCGAGTAGAGGAATCCTGGGTCAGCGTCCATTTGGATCAGGCACCGAAATCCTTTCCAAGATGGTACAGCCATGAAGGGAAACCACTTCCTCCCGCTTCAGAGGCGCGGTCAGTAACCAAATCTGAGAAGCTTCAGCAAAAACAAGTATTTTTTCAGTGTTTAACATAAAGCATAAAACAGTTGCCCTTCTAGGATCTATAGCCCATTAATTTTTTATTTTTTTTAAAACCAAAACGTTAATCTCATAGGTGGCAATCATGCTTAGATCTGGGGACAACTAAGAGAGCAGGGCTTTATTTTCCTTCAAATAACCAGCAACTGAAGGAGCCGTATCGTAATAAACACGATGTATTTATGGACACGAAGTCGTTTGTGTTGTCTGTGAACATTTCTCCCAACAACCTCTCCGTTTATTATCTAGTCTGGTTTTTAAACATTAATAGTGTTTCTAATTACTGCGCAGTTTATTCAATAATATATAAACAGACCTTACTATTAAGAAATGCTTTCTGCCTAATTCCTTAAGTACCACAGGAAGCAATGAAAACATGAACGTACTTTAAGAATAAATCTCATTTTGCCCTATTTGTGTTACAAAGAACACTGACTCTCCCATGCTGAGGCCAACTGCATCTGCCCAGCTGACCACGTAAAGATTATAGAGCATTTGCAGGCTTGGGAGCCCATAATGGGACATGAAATGGCTTTAACTCCAGCAGAGTGCTAGGACAGGATATTGCTGCAAGCTGTGATGAAACCAAGAACAGAGAAATCATCTGTGGAGTTTTTGGAACGAGCTGTTGTGGAAACAGTTTGGTTTTTAACTTTGGAATCCTATGAGTAGATCCTGCCCTGTGAAGTGCTCAGAAAGTAGCCCTCCACTGGCAATCAAATCCTTTGTTTTATGGCAGGAATGGTAAGTACCACTGAAAAAGAAAAAAGCAGCACATACTCCATACCTTGACATTCCTGAGATGCCACAGCTTAAGCAAACAAAAAGCAGAGACAGAGGTTCCCTGAGCTCCCCTGCACTCACCAAGGAGGAGCCTTTGCAGTTTTAAGGCTAACCCATGGATCGCTGTTTCGCACAGGCTGAAGGTGAGGTGGCAGCGCTCAACAGGCGCATCCAGCTGGTGGAAGAGGAGCTGGACCGTGCCCAGGAACGGCTGGCCACCGCCTTGCAGAAACTGGAGGAGGCCGAGAAAGCAGCAGATGAAAGCGAGAGGTACGTTTCCTTTTTTTTTTTCAATTAGTATATATGAAGAAAATACTCCTGTATAATTTAGTATCTGCATGTGCTGATGTGCACTGCAGGCCAGAAACTCGGAACTTTTTTATAAGCTCAAATGAGTAATTCTCTCAGCCTTGAAGAACGCAGTAGCATGGCCATCACGGGCCGCTTTTTGGTTACAAGAACTGAATTCCATCTTAGGACCTTTGAGATCAAAGTGCTAAAATGCTTCTACATTAAACACTTGCTTTGACTTCTGCAGAGGAATGAAGGTCATTGAGAACAGAGCAATGAAAGATGAAGAGAAAATGGAAATTCAGGAAATGCAACTGAAGGAGGCTAAGCACATCGCTGAAGAAGCTGACCGCAAGTATGAAGAGGTAAAGGGATAAGGAAATGATTAAATGTGCACAAGAACTGCGAGCAACTCGGTTGCTCCTCAGTTCAGTCATTCTCCGTACGACATTCTCAATGTGATAGCTCAATTTTGGCATGTTCCCAAAAAAGCAGTAATTTTAATAGTGACTTTAGCAGCACCTTGGATACTCAATGCTAAGAACACTGCAAAATCTAATGTGGGGGGGGAAGTCTGTCATGTCTGTTCATGTCTCTTTTAATCCAGTTCCATCGTTCAGCAGTAAAGCCCAAGCACAGTGATTTGCGAGAAACATGTAAGACACTACAGACTGCACTGATGCAGCCATCGTCTCTTTACAGGTGGCCCGTAAACTGGTTATTCTGGAGGGGGAACTGGAAAGAGCGGAGGAGCGTGCGGAGGTGTCCGAAGTGTGAGTAGCTTCATGCGCACGGCGGCAGTTCAGAGCACAGCACAGGCCACACTGCATTTCTGTAGAAAAATCTACTCCTGTATACGTAGAAAAGCTTATTTCTTACCCTATATACCCAATTTTCTCCTTTCAGATTTAATAATTACTTCGTATCTCGTACTTTTACACTTCTTGAAAATTAAATCAATTCATAACAGGGTCAGTAGTAACATACGCTTCTTTTTTCCCCCCCCTGTAGTAAATGCAGTGACCTTGAAGAGGAGTTAAAGAACGTCACCAACAACCTGAAGTCTCTGGAAGCTCAATCTGAAAAGGTTGGTTCTTTTTGTAAACTAAGGGAGAGTTCACTGAGTTTGCAAAGTTTGCAAGTAAAATCCACAGCAATAATCCAGGAACGCACAGAAAGTGAACGGCTTCAGCTGCTGCCTTCCAGTACGGAAGCTTTGCGTCCTTTCACCCCACCAGACGGTAAACTCGGTCAGGTCTAAGGTGATGCATGAAGGACCTTGGACATCCCTGGTCTTAAAATGAATTATCAACAACAGTCTGATATGCCCTGGTGAAGAGGAGTAAAGCACGGGAAGGGTGTTTGCAGCGACTGTAAAAGGAAAAGTGGTTATAAATAGGTCACGGTTTCATAAACATTTGTTATTGTTGCTACAACTCCCCTTTAAGGGTGTTTATTGTTTTCACAGTACTCGGAAAAAGAAGATAAATACGAAGAAGAAATCAAGATTCTTTCCGACAAGCTTAAAGAAGTAAGTTTGTCCATCCCTAACCTCTATTTAACCATCTTTTTTTCTTTTTTTAACAGCATCCAATTACTCTGATTTTTTTTTAGGCTGAAACTCGTGCTGAATTTGCAGAGAGAACAGTTGCCAAACTGGAAAAGTCTATTGATGATCTGGAAGGTACGGAATTACTTGAGTTTCCTTTCAAAGTGGTCAATTGCAGATTAGAAAACAACCCTTTAGGAGGGGGGATTAGATTTTCTTGGGAAAGGACTGGAGTGCTGCTGGTAGCTGGGTGTGATGTTCAGAGGTTCTGATTTTGGCCAACTCCCCAGCCGTGGACTCCAGGGCCCTTTCTGTTAATTACAAGGTCACAGCCCTACTTAAGCTGATGCCTGAAAAATAATTTTGAGATATTAAATAAAAGGAATGCAGATGAAGCTTCTGACCTGGCGGCTGTGGGGATGTTTTGCTTTCGTGCTGGTACTCTGTTCTACAGCTGTTTTCTTTTCTTTTCCTCCCCAACTGCTCTGGCCGCTGTCTGCGTGTCTCTGCTCTGGCCTGTCTCTCTCTGCCTTTCTCGCTGACCCGCACCTTTCGCCCCGGTGACCGACAGACGAGCTGTACGCTCAGAAGCTGAAGTACAAAGCCATCAGCGAGGAGCTCGACCATGCTCTCAATGACATGACCTCACTGTGATCTGCCGTGGGGGGGGCTCAGGGGCTGCTCTGACTCGCTGCGTTCCTTAAGCTTTCCTTGCCTGTCCCTCCTGTGCAGCTTCCCCAGGCCATGCTTCCATCTCCTTTAGAAGAACAGCTCAATAAAAACACGATACCTCTGCCTTTCAGCTTCTGGGGTTTATTTCCTTCTCATCCACCTAAAATGCACCAGTAGTGACACTGCAAACACGCTCAGCTGCTCACAGCAGGGCCAGGCAGATGCAGCCAGCGCAGGTGGCCATGGCCTCTGTTTGGGTGTTCCCATGGATGCGCGCAGCAGTGAAAAGCTCGGGGTGCGTTTGGTGCCCGTGGTGCTCTGCCTGCCTGGTTAAAACCCTCAGGACAGTGAGAACTCCGAAGGACAAGTCCTGTAGATCACAGGTTAAATCAAAACACAAGTCTGCACATTACAAATGTATGTGTCCAAAAACCTCGTTAATTAGAGCAAATAGCAGAAAAAAGGCTCCATTTTGTGGACGCAGCTGTGTGTTGTCTTAAATGTAAAGGTAAGTAAAAATGGGTTTTGTTTAAAAAGAAAAGGCTGCAAAATAATGTGTTTAAGTCTCTTCATTTGTTTTCACTTCTTTCTCACTAGAAAAACTTGCTCAAGCCAAAGAAGAGAACTTGGGGCTGCATCAGACACTGGACCAG